ACAGAAAACTCAGGCAGGGATGGGGTGAGGCAGCAGCTGGTAGTGTTGTGGCCATTAGTGACAGCAGCTACTCAAAGAGCCCTTTCTGTTGAGCTCCATCATCTGCCCTTAGTCACCATTGCTGTTCTAGAACTGTGAAGCAAGTGTCTGCTTCTGCATTGCAGCCTCAGTAGGGATGTAAGCGACTAGTCTTCTGTCCGATAAGCATAAGTGTATTGGATAGTCGAGTAGTGACTTGACTTGTTGCTTCCCCCCACCATGATTCCTCTATCAGAGAGAGGCAGTAAGGGGGAGGAGCAGGAGCCAGTGCTGGGGGGAATCAACTTAAAAACCGGTTCACTCCAGCACTATCTCCGTGGGGGGCAGGGAAGGCAGAGGCACAGTAGAGAAACAGTGTGAGACTGAAATAGTCCCTGCTTGCTCTGGTTCCAACAGTGGGGCTTCTGCTTTTGAAATGTAGTGGGGTTTCTGCTTTTTAAAAATTGCCCAACAACTTGGTGGGAAGTAGGGCTTGGAATTGGGGGGGGGGAAGGGCTTCAGCAGCAATTCTACACAAAAGTTTCTCTATTGTTTCAGAGCTTCCATATTTTGGAGAATATCATAGTTGTGTGGTTGGCAAGGGAAGATATTCTTATTCCAATTCCAGGTGGGAAACCAGCAGTGTATGCAACCGAAGTATTCAAAGGTATAGTGACTGATTAGTACATCTATGAGTGGAGTAGGCTGGTTTGCTAGAAACATAGCCCTAGAAAATAAGCCCTTCATTGGAGTTCCTGCTATAGAAGTTTGCTGCTGTCAGTACCAGAATTGGATCAGAATTCATCAGAGAATCAGTAGGTTGATGCGTTGGCTTCCAAATCGCTTAGCTTGTTATGACCATGCAAATACACAGAGGACATTCCTTATGTCAGGAGAGCTCAGGGGCTCTCGTTGTAGCAATCCACTCAGCATGAGGGAGAGGGAAATTTTCCTTTGTCTTTCCCCTTCCTACATATTCTTCAGGCACTCTGTATGTTCTAGCACCTATCTCTTGTAAGTACAGGCAGATCCCGACTTACGTGGATCCAACTTATGTCGGATCCGCACTTACGAACGGGGCTTTTCTCGCCCCGGAGCTCACGGGCAGCGGGTTGGCGCCCGTGTCCTCAGGGGTGAGAAAAGCTTCTCCTGATCTCCCTGGTCTGCTGGGGGGGGTGAGTGGAGGCCAGATGTTAAAATGGCACTCACGTGTCTGTCTATCCTTTTCATATTCTGCACTAGCATCATCGTTTTTCTCTAAAAAATTTTGCTTGTTTATCTAACATTCCTTCAATTCAGCTAGAATTTAAATTCCTCTGAATGGATGCCAAAAGGTTTTTGGCATCTTAATTAGAAATCCTTCTACTAACTTTGTTCCCTTAACATCAGTCTACTTCTCCTTTCAGTTTTTCAATGATATAAAGCATTACTAATGCCAGCTGTTAAAATAACGGTCAAGCTCAAGTAGCAGAGGGGAAACAGAGCTAGAATGACCTGATTTTATCTGAGATACATCTTCAGGACAGATTTTGCTCAAATAATCCACAATTCAGTTAACTCCTCTTGAATCAGCTTAGTCCGTGTGAACATAACTACACTGTGAAGTAATACTTGAGTTGCACAAACTGCTGGGATGCATCTACTCGGTGATACTATCAACACTGCATTACTAGCTCCAGCATGAGGAGCATTCCCTTTTCTCTATCACATCAAACACAAGTTCCTTGTATTCATTTTAAAGGCCCTTCATGGCCTATTCCCAGCCTACATATTGAGCTGTCAGTGCTCACTTTCAGTCAGCTCATGATAACAGCCTCTATTCCTCCTTGTTAAATTTTCAAACAAATCCCTTTGACCCTTCTTCCAGGCTTCCTCGTATGCTTGGGGATGAAAGGCTCTCCCTGTAAACTAGAACGTATTCGATATTTTTCTTCAAACCTCCCCCCAAAACTCTCTTTTGCAGTGATGCCTCCAAAAAGAGTAACTGCCCAGCTGCAGGTGTCTAAAGACCACAACCTGTCATGCTAACCAATATTAGATCAGTGTTTTCCCTATATTCCCCATCTGGCTATCTGGATCCATCTGATGTCTTTCATCTTATGCTTAGATTGTAAGATCATTGGAGCAGGAACTGTCCTTTTTACTCTGTGTTTGTACAGCTCCTTGCGCAAACACAGAGGTCAAGGGGTCAAGGTCTATGACAAAGGGTCATAGGCATTGTGGCAATACACATAATATATAATAATAACTCACACCCCCAGGTGGAATGAATGGGTGGTGCATGAAGCTTGAGCTACATTCACGTTACACCTCAAGCTACTGCTGCAGTGAACACGAGCCCTAATTTGTTCGCTTTTATTCCTGAAGTACCCTTTGGTATCATGAAGCTTGGGAGCACACGACCCCTTTTAAATCTCAGGGCCTTAAGTCTCAAACCTTTCCTTGAGTAGATGCCCATCAAATGCAGACCAGTCCCAGTGAATATTTCTGGAGATGCAATGGCAGCAGATATAGATATACCCACGCTAGATTTGCTCTATCTTGAATAACAACACCAGGGAAACTGGCAGCACATATAACTCTCCCCACCTGCCCAGGAATCTAGACA